GGTAAAAAAAATTCAATGAGCTGTGTGCGCGGGTAAAACTCAATATCTCTTATTTTAGTTTCCAGCCGGTGGTTACACGCCATCGTTTTGGCTGTCCCTCTGTGGCAAACGTGCGGACTTGCCATGAACCAAATCTGCAGCTACTGGCCCGGTAGTGGCTACATAGGAGATCCGAGAGACTGCCACAGCTGGGGATACTGCAAAAATAATAAGCTAGCGGCTCAAGGGGAATGCCCCAATGGCTTGTTTTACGATGCCCAATCAGGAACATGCCAGCCGGCGCATCTGGTGCGATGTGCACCTCAGTATTGGGAACTCTGTGCTCAGAGACAGAGAGGAGAGTATGTTTCTGACCCGTTGGATTGCAGAAAATACAAACAATGTGATGACGAGGGCGGCAATATTGAAGAGAATTATTGCGCCGGCGGGCATGTGTTTAGCAACAGGCTGCAGACATGTGTTTCAAGTGCAAACGGATGTACAGAGGAGACTCTTTCCATATGCGGCTATGTGCAGAGTGGTACGACCCTGGGAGACCCCTTGAACTGTGGCCTTTACTTGGAGTGTCAGAGTGGAACAGGCTTTCGGCGCGCCTGTACAGCTGCTCGTTACTACAACTACAACACCGGGCGCTGTCAGACAACACGTCCAAACCATTGTCCCAGTGACGAAAATGGCTATAAGCCTGCCAATTATCCGCCTCCTGCTATGGATGTCTCCGTTTGTGCTGACTTCTATCAGGATAACCATTCAGGAATTCAACTTATTACAGATGCCCAGACTTGCCATGGTTACTACAAGTGCGGCTCCAAATCTGTCCTCGGTATTTGGCACAGCTGTCCACACGGTACTCACTTCCAATGGTGGAGTCAAAAGTGTGTTACACCCGAGTCCTACAGCTGCCCGTATGATCGGTGTGGTAATCTGAATTCGTCCCTAGTCGCTGGTATAAACTCAGGTTGCTCCGAATATATATACTGTCAAGGTCAGACATCTCAGCAAATGGGTAAATGCCCGGAAGAGTTACCATACTTTGACGAAAAGAGAGGCGCCTGCATTAGGGATTTTCCGAACTATACTGTATGCTTTATGGATGGTTGATTTCCAATGGAAAACTTAATTAAAGTTAGGTTAGATCTATGAGTACATCTTTTTGTATATTTATATGTGTGGGTTGTGTTTTAAGAATATACCGCAAAATTAATGATTTATTCATTTGCACAAAACCCGATTGCCATAAGAAAGGCCCAAGAAAAAAAAGCAAATCAACACAGAGGGGCAAGAAATGTTAAGACAAAATTTATGCGGAATAAACATTTTTGGCGATTTTTTCACACTTTCTTTTCGATGCTACTTATTAAAGGGCGGGCAACATCTGGTGCACCATGTTTTTGTGAGGACTTTCTGATTTAATAATTTTCCAAACTCGCAGAAGTGTAGAAGATGTACAAAAACTTTAACAATATTCGAGATTTGTTAGGCGACTGCTTACCAAGGATTTTATTCCTTTCCGATAAATTACCTATGAAATTTATTTCCAAACACGTGTGCTTTTGGTGGCCTAAGCATCTGCTTCCCGGCAATTTCTTAAGAACATATCCATTATAAAAAAAACTTATCGAGAAATTAAATGGCTTAAAGATAGAATTAACCCTGCATAAGTTGGTGTGCTTTTATTTGTAATTTTTCAAGTATAGGATAGAGTATGCCTTCTGTTGCCTAAATACACCCGGTGTAAATACAGGGTAAACAAAGGTTTGTTCGTTGTACTCCAAGCCAATTGAACGTATTTTCGACTTAACCTGCTTTGTGTCCACATCAGGAGCAGACCTGACAGCGTGTAAAGCGTAGAGATAAGAGGAGCGGGCAGTGGTTTCAGCTAACCATTGTGGCCTCGAAAGCGAAGCGAAGAACACGATGAGTCATTGAATTATTATGATTGACTTTTATTACATGGAATCGCAATTTATTTTACTTAACAACAAGCAGCCAAACGAACCAAACGTGGCCCAAAGGCGTGCTAGCAACAAGCGTAGCCAAAAAGCATTCCGAAAATTTGAATGAAAAGTTATAAAGAAATTACGTTATTTATCATTCGCAGTGTTGTGCAGCCCGCGGCCGAGGCGAAACGGTAGAGAGCGAAACAGCGACACGGCCGTCCCAGCAGCAACCCAAACCGTTTCCGTTTCCGCTCATTTATTTGCCTGACTGTCAAACCAGTACACACACACATACACACGCGCTCACACATAAGCACATACACAAACGCACATTTTTTCCAGGGCTCTGCGCTCTGCTGGTTGTAGTTTATGCACTGTTAAAAAGTTTTACTTCGCGCCAGAGAAATTTAAATTTATTGTTTTGCGGTTTTATTGAACGACTCCAGCATCACCTCAATCGCCGTCCAGTATTCACCCCCACACTGTGCACACCTACCCCAGTGGTAGGTTGGCTTCAAATTAGTTGCTGCTTGGCAATCGATGGGCGTTTGATTTACTGCCGTTGCAAGATTGAAATGCCTAATTGCTATAAAATTGGGCGTGGCCGCAGTGCCAGCCACCAGGTGAATTAAGCTGACTGTGGCTCTCCAATCCAATTACAAATTAAGCGTCTCGCTGCCAAACACTTTTTTTTGCCACGTTTGCTCTTTAATTCAGAATTGTAGTGTGTTTTAGCATAGCTTATCGGGGTTACAACTCGCTTAAAATATATTCGTATCATATCAGCACAGACAAAATTTATACTAGCAGCTATTACTCCACTTTGCCCGAACAAAGTGTTTTCAAACTTCAGTTATAACTTTTCAACTGGTTCCCCGAAAAAAAAGAAAACTCATCGGTACTACTCAGAGGAGTGGAACAATCGCAAGATAGGTTAGTAAGGGTACGATTAAAATCTATATATTAATTTTTAAGCAACAGGCACTTTTCATAATTATGATTTTTTATGTAAATCCTTAAAAACGAGTTTGTAGCTGATGGGAACTATATTTAACTTTCGCTAACACAATCTTGGACCCACATTTCCACACAGCTCAGTGGATTTTGTGAGCAGTGTGAAAAACGCCAACAATGAGTTTTCGCACAAATTAAAGACAACGGTTCCACATTTTACAGAAACTCCGTATATAATTGCACATATTTACCCCTTCTTAAGGATTATTAATGGCTGCGTGGTATAACAAGTAAATCCCGAATGCCCGATAGAGAGATACTATAGATACTATAAATGGTAAGGTCCGAATTTGAAGTGTAGGTTAGAATCTATAATATTTGAGTATTTGAGTATCTCCCACTACACCCTCTTAAAAAACGTTGGCATGTGTGATGTGTATTTATGAAAAATGCCTCAAAGAAATGTATGTGGCGAAACTGAGAAGAGGGTATCAGCTTGTCGGTCAGTCTCGACTCAACATTCTTACTTATGTATTTACCCTTGAACATCTCAGGGCGAATACTTCAACCTTTGCGTTGTCAGGGCCAATGCCACCAGGCAACAGCTTACTGGGCCTAATATTCTTTATCCGTAGCTTTGGTTCTACCCTGCGGCCTACGGCGAGGTTTTGTTTTTCTGTCTGCCGGCTGGATTACTTGGTTACCTTGCCGAACCCAAGGGAATGAGATGCTGTCCATGGTTGAGAAGTTTCGCTTTTCTTTGCTTCCATTATATCTGGCTCTGTTGCTGCGTTGTGGCTGTGTTGCCAAATAGCTGTTTGCTTGATGCCGTCGTTGTTGACATTTAGTTGACATACACAACACAGATCCCTGGCCACACCATCCCTTCATCCCACTCGATGCTGTGCATTTCCGCCAACAGGCCATGTAATAGATCATCAGGCGACTTTGTTTGCACTTCGCCACTGAACCCTGCAGCTGTCCCTGCCGCCATCGCATCCTTGTATCGTGGCCTTCGCCAGTCTGGCGTTGATTGCTCCTCGTCAGCTGCTGCGCTGCGCTTTATTATTGCAAGTTAGGACGAAAGTCGCCTGGGTCGACGCTTGCCGGACCCGTCCAGCCCAACTTCCACTGGCTTAGACAATTTTTGAAAGGTTATTTCTCTTGCAACAGCCGCGGTCTGTACTTTGTTACGCTTTGCACTTCATTTGCCGTCAGTCCGTCCCTCCTCATTGCTGCAATAAATATTGTTTACTTTCCTCGTCGTGCTGCATCGCCTGGACAGCTATTTGTTACGTCTTTCGGCTGAAGCCGCTGACATTCATCCAGCCAGAGCGACAGCTTCCTGAAATATGGTCGAGACATGCTTCGATAAGTATTATATCGCACAAAGGGGACTTCAATTTGTTGCAGACACATATCACATCCCACTACTGGTAATATTCACAGCACACACAGTTCATTTTTGTTTAGAATTCAGCTTATATGAGATGCGCTTAAAGTTTAGTTGGTACTGTCTGAGCATTCCATTACATATTTAAAATTATATATGTGTTTCCTTTCTTTGGTAAAATGATTTGATTATTATCCACCCTAACTCTTTGCCACACAACCTGCTGAGGCGAAACCCTATTCGTCGTCTGAAGCGTAGTCAACCGCTGGCATGGTACGTGAGCGGATGTCACCTATCCGGCGCCTAAGGTGCAAAAATTGTACCAAAATTCAAATAAACAAAACTTTGAACATTTTGATTGAAAATTTACATAATAAATATAAAACGCTATTTTCGACACACCGAATATTAGATACCTTTGGGGACGTATGGCTTAAAAATGTTAAGGAAATTTTGTATTTTTACGCGCAAATCCCGAAGTGTAACGTACGACTCGACTCACGCTATACAAAAATTATTTCAAACTAATAGTGTAGGCTTAGACTATCTAACATACCTGCTAAATGGATTCGAATAAGAAAAATTAAAGAGGGAATATTAATCATCAGAAGTCAAGACGCAAATGGAAGTATTTAAATGGGTTCTAGCTTAAAAAACTATAGTGAAACACAAACTACAAACAACATATTTTAATGTTTTTAATTTTAATCCACGCTCTGTCTCTGAAACTACTTGCGCCTGCCACCGGGTGGTGGTCGGAATGGTTTCCGTCGTGACTTCGAGTCCACAATAAGCACGGATTGGCGTTTGAGATAGTTGCGAGATGGCACCTCATTGTCATCATCGGTTGTGGCCACTGCAAGTTAGAGAATCCCATTTACAGCAACTAGAATTTCTGATTTGGTTCACCCATTCACTTACCTACTGCCGGCACCTGTTCTGGCGAAGACGAAGAAGTGCCCGCCGCACGCTGTGAACGTCCCGCAAACAAGTTGTAGTAGCACATAGGCATGGGCTGCGGCTTCTCGCCCTCGGGCACTGATGGCGATTTGGGTGGCTCTAGCTGGTAACCGTCTTCCTCGTCCTCCTCTAGGTCGAGATTAGGTATTTCAAGTGGTGGTATGTCTTCTGGTTTGCTGAGCTCTTGACAGCTTTTAATTTTCAACTTAAGGATCTGATAAAAGCAAAAACATCAGGGCTTAAGCCTGTACTATTAGATGCGCTATTTACCTCAATTAAGTCCTCATCCTGGGCCACATGTGTCAAAAAGTTGGGCAACTCCGCGACCCTAATGTGCAGCTTACGTTCCTTCATGTCGATGTTTGTCTCGTCCACCTCCTGCACCTTGAATATCATCTCGCAAATGCGCTCCTTAAGATATTTGAGCACACCCATGGACTTGTCAGCGGCATCTGTGTCCTTCTGGCGTTCCTGTTCCATGACAGCTATATTATTTTTGATTTGTTCGATGACCTCCTGATTTCTGTTTAACATACAGAAATTAATTAACTAAATTACGCTGACCTAAAGCTGTTGTACTTACACTTCACTCTCTTTGACGTCCGAAAACTTGGCTATCTCCAGCTCGCTAGTCAGCGCCTCGCGCTCTGCCTCCAGATTGGCCTTCTCGGCCTCAGCTGCCTTTCGCAAATAAGTGAGACGTGCGGCCGACTCCTTTTGGGCGCTAAAGCGCTCAAAGACTTCGAAGGGTGAGGTGGCGCCGGATGCCGCCATCAGCTGCTTAAATAGGGATTCCATGTCGCTCGTAACGCTCTCGAGCTGCGACACCGGCTCCTCCTCACCGTTCTCCGTCTTGGCCGTGTGCTGGTCGCCCGAGCTAGAGCCCACACTATCCTGATGAACAAGCGTCTTAGTCTCAGCGAACAGCTTCCGGCCAATACGCTCCAGCTCCAGCTTACGTGCCTCCACCTGCTTTCGAAAGTCCAAAGCTTGCCGCTCGCGCGTCTTCTGTGAGAGATTGGCCTGTTGCTCCTGCCGTTGCAGTATCACCTTTGCCGCATCACGCATTTCAATCGCATCATTGTGCACCTGTTGCAGGCGCTCAATCTCCGCCTTTTGTTCGTTGAGTGAATGCTCCAGTTCGCGCAAACTCCGCTCGAAACGCTCCGCATCAGTCATGAGCGATGCTTCGATTGAGCGGTACTTCTTGCGTATGTGTTCAGCTTCCATCCACTGTACATTCGTGCGATGTATCTCGTTCTCCAACTGACAAACAAGCTAAGGAGACCCACTTTGTCAGATGCGTTTATCCATAGTGATAATGTATAAGAAGCGAAATGCTCACCTTTCGATTGGCGTCCTCCTCGAGAGTCTCCGGTAGCTTCTCGCCCAAGTTTTGACTCTGCGCCTCCTTGTTCGCTAGAAGCTCTCGGTATTTCTCCACCAACCTGCTGAAGTGCTGCTGTCGGCTCTTGAAGCGATGACGCAGTAGATCCATCTGCTTACGATTCTCAGTTATCTTGAGATCAGTCAAAAATATGGCATCATCGGCATTCTTGGCTCCAATTGGATAAGACGCCTTGCCCACAATAATGGTGGGCGTGGCACTCTGTTTTTTGCGCGGCTCAGAGCTGGTGTCTTTGATTACCACAGGCCGCTGCAGCGGATGGCGCAGACGACTTACCTTAATGGTCAGCTCCTTTATATCCTTTTTCAGTGTTCCAATAGTGTCGCAGTTAATACGATTCTGCTTCTGCCACTCCGCGGCATTGGCTGTCTTTTGGCCCTCTACGAAAATGCATAAAACAATCAATCCATGTTGTGAAGTCACCCAAATCAAGGAAAACTCACCGGCCAACAAAATGCGTTTCTTAATCTCATTGATTTGCCTATTTAAATCATTCAATTTATCGGATTCCATGGCGCCGGCAGCAATTGGCTTCTAAAATTGTACATTTTACTCAATCCGGTGGGTTTGTTTGATCAATGCACTAAACAACTTGTTATGACAACGAACTTGAATACCGGTTCTAGCCTGCAACCACCAATCGCAATAATCAGCTGTCTAGCAAACAAGTCGCTGCGGCTGCCACTCAATGCTTTGTGATTCAAAAATATTCTTTTTATTTTATTAAAAGTCGCTAACGAGTTGCTATAGACTGTTATTCGACTTGGGAACTCGAACCGTTCCAACTCTCTTAATTTGCCCTTTTCGATAGGTATATCGATACTTCTTTTGATACTGCTCTCCTGCGGTATTTCTTTGTCAACTGTAGAATTTCTAGTAGTCATTGCTCTTTCTCGCTTACACGATAATTATAATAATTTAATTAGTTACAAACGATTTTTATTTTTCTTAGTGTCTCAACAGAGCCCACAACAGTAATCAGCGAACATAATTTGTACAATAGAGTTTCGAAAACGGGCAACAGAATAAAATTCAAATCACCAAAAAACATAATACAAAATAAACTTAATTCAAGCTGGTTTTATCTAAACAATTAGTCACAGTGTGCACAAACTGAGATGCTACGTTTGAATCTCGAAAACGACAGGCCAAAGGTTCGCGAATTCCCTTTGGACAGTTAGCGTAATTGTAGTACACCCAACGGCAACTGTTGCTGCTTTTAGGCAAATAGTTGACGCTCCATTTGCCATCCACCTGCATATGCACGAGTAGGTTACCTGTGTTCTTGTCCCAGAGTAGCATGTAACAGTTACCAGACTCAGGCTGCCTCCAAATTTCAATCCGTCCTTCGCCTAAGAATTCAATTAACACTTTATGACATGTCTTAGTAATTATTTACCTATTTTCTTCCAAAGCTTTAAATGATCGAAAACAAAAAGATTCGTCGGCTCGCGGAATATCTGCACACCAGTTTCCTTAATAGCTATTGGATCAATCATCTCATCTTCAGTTTTACCAATCAAGCTGTCTTCTGGTTCAACGTCGGACTCACTCTCAGATTCTTTGAATACTGGATTAACAGATCCTTCGTTATGAATTGAATCTTTCACTTCCTCGTTAAGCGAGATAACGTTGTTAACTTCCACGGGATGTAAGATTAGTTCCTGATCCTCTGCATGATGCTTGGATGAGACGATATCATTTACAAATACCTCGATGTTATCAGGAACTGTATCGTCTATTGGACTATCACAGCTTGTAACACTTTCCTCTATGAGAGGATCAATTAACCCAGTCTCATTTTCAACAGGAATGTTAAACTCTTCCGACTTGCGAGATGGTCGGCAACAATTAATATTTTCTTCATATACCGAAAGAGGAAAATTGTTAATTTTTTTCCCAGCTAAATGCACATTTGTGGGAGTAGTTACGCCTGTGCTGGAAATGGCTGTTAGATAAAAAAAAAATATTAGTCTCAACGCAACAGCAATTTATCTCTACACATACCAGATAAATTCCGTGGCAAATCTTGGTCCATTTGTTCCAAAATTAACCGCACGTCGTCGGTAGTTAATAGTTTGCACTTCCTACAACCATGACCTGCCAGTCTGATCCTCTTTTGATTAGCATCGCCGAAGAAATTTCTCATACTCGTTGAAGAAAGGAATCTATTCTTGAAGAGGCCCGTGAATAATCCCGAACTTGGTTGCACCAGTGATTGGGGTTCTCTATTATCAGAAACGATTACTTCCTTTAACTCAGCATAGCCTTGATCCACATCAGCTATAAAGTACAATTCACAGTCCTCTTCCTGGCCCCTTACAGATTGCTGTTCTGCTATGGGTAGTCGTTCCACCGGATCGAGACCCGATTCTGACTCAAACGACAACAATTTTGAATAATCAATTTTCTCTGGCAATATCTTTAGTTTGTTGTTAGGTGCAAATGTGTTCAGCCTGATGTCAGGCAATGACAAGTCCATTTCGAACTCTTCTGAAGGTGTGCAAGTGAGCAGATCTAAGCACTTTTCCAAATCACTTGCCAATTCAAACGTGTAGACAGGTCTCAGATAGGTAATGGGCCCCAGGCTTAGCAGCGGCTCTTTAGTTTTGAAATCGAACAAACGTCGACTTGGTGCATCCAAACAGCGAGTTGAGATCTTGCTACCTTCCAACATTCTGAAAAATAAATAAATGCACTGTAATTTAAAAACGTTATATTAATACTGTTGCTCAAATGACTGACTACTAGATTACAAAAAACCGAAAAATGCTCACATTTGCCGTTTCTGGAATGTTTCTGTTGTTGACTATTGAAATGTATAGGCTTTCTACATCGGATTGCTGAGGCAAGAATAACACAAGGTTCTAAAAAAACTATGATGTCTCTCGGTGCTAGGTGCCAGGGAAAAGAATTAAAAATAAAAAATGAAAACAAAGGTAAATGTTGCAGTTGGATGTAGCAAACTACTTAATACTTGTTCACATTAAAATTGTGTATAACATGCAAAACTTATTAACACATATTGATTTTCACGAAGAGGCCAATCGGTCTTTGCCTCATTAAAATCAATCATACAAATTTACTTCCATGATGACAATGACGGATTTCCATTGCTGGCTAGTTAAATGTATGTTGTGGATGAACTTTTTTCCTTCCCATTTATTTCCTTCTAACTTACCAGCCGACTTACTGAATATATAAAATAAACTAACTGACTTGCTGACACTAAACGCACATCCCAGCCGTAAGAGCTTAAAAGCTTAAAGCACTAGTGAAAATTACTTCTTTTTTACATTCTTTCGTAGTGAAAAACAACCGGTAAATAGTTAATTTTTCTTAAATTTGTTAGAGAACATTATAATTATAGCTTTTAAATGAGCTTGTAGCTAATAAGACAATTATTGAATTTTCGAAACAACAATGCAAGGTGGGTTTTTAAAATCATGCCAAAAATCGCAACCATGCGTCTACATATTTTTAATATTCTATCTCACATTTCTTTTAATTGGCATCATACGCCCTAGAATTGTTACTCATTGTTGTATACGAAGCGGAAACAATTTTAGCGGGGAATGCGGCCACTGCGTCTAATTATCCTTTTCACATTGCTCATCGTATACGTAATTATAGGTAGAAATGCAGAAATGAAAACGTGGCTAGAGACACAAATTACAACTTGTCCTTCAGTTGTTTAAAGAGTTTTAACACAGGAACAAAGATAGCCACAGGGTCAAACAAAAGAAAAGCAAACAACGGAGAGTTTTTTACTATTCACTGACCAGAAAATCCGGGATTCATTTTTATACCCTGTACCTATTAATAATACAGAATGACAGTAGGAGATTAACAGGCTGAAGAAGCCATATCCAAAGCTATAAAGAATATATGCTTATACCCGACCAAATCTAGCTATATTAGTATGTATTCCGTCTGATGATAAATTTATATAAATATATTCTTAATATCGAGAAAATTGGAACTTGGAGCTAAGTGGCAAGAGACACCTTAATATACCTTGATTCAAAATACTTAGTTTTAATTTTTTGATAAATGTTTCCATAGCATCGCACTTTGTATGCCCGTGTGTATGGGCATTTGTGTAAGTCTTCATTGAAATAAGTTTGAATATATAAGAAGGATGCCTGGCACTGGGCTCAGGGTATCTCCTAGTCGGTCACTCCCGACAAGCTCGCTTTGTTTGAACGTACAGAGATAAGCGCCTGCAGTTAAATACAAAAAAATAAATACAACTAGAGTGGTCAGAGTAAATAGCGTAATTTAAATCAGAAATATGCATAAAATGCAAAGAAAACAAGTAAAAATGCAAACAAACAAGCAAATAAAATGCGAATGCAAACAAAGAGCAGCGAATTCGGGTTTTAAAGCAAAAACCATTAAAATGTGCGCCCCATTAAATTTGTATAGTATTTGTGCCACAAAATGGCGTTTCCGCTCCGGTTTGCCAATCCATTTGAGCATGTGTGCTAGTGTGTGTGCACCTTACACATTGACTTTCTTATTTCGGTGTATACCTGTGTTCGATAACCTGACTTCTACATTCCCATCACCCTCACACACACACAAGTTGGTCCTTGTAGATTTTAACTGCCAACACATTTGGTTTTTGCTCTTTTCTCTAATTTTTGCTTTCGCTCATATTTTGTTGACATTTAGTTTTTGTGAATCCAATGATATAAGCAAAACATGTTGAAGTATGACTTGAAAAAACTCGAAATTGATTTATGTGTTTGCTTCGGAATAAACAAAAATTGTCTGAGAAAGTATTTGCAATTCAGCTTAACAATTTAACAAGTATTGGCACAAGAGTGATAAAATGTCATCCTTGTTACGTTTACTTTGAGGTCGGCAAAGGAATAAGTAGGTTTGAGTAAAAGGTTTCTAGTTGACAAAACGGAAACCAATTATTTGTATTTACTTTATGAGAATTAGAATCATGAGCCGACTGGGTAAACGCAAAAGTTGGCATATTGCTGTTACAAAAGAAACAAGACGAACGATAAGCCATAAGATTTGAGTTTAATAAACAATTTTTTAAACATATGTCTCGACTAAGTCCAATCAATACCAGTTTCTGTATAATTAGGTAATACCATCGACGATCGAGCAATACAAATACTAGTTAGATTCAATCAGTTAGAGTAATTGATTTTAATTTAAATTGATTTTGGGATGTATGTTCTTATTGAACCTAAAGAAAACAACAGAGAAGCTGTCCCGCTCCTAAAAAATTAAAATAAATGCAATTTTTAAGATGAAGGCTTTGTTTTTTTTTTACAATGCACACATTTTAACGAAATCTTTGTGGAGTAAGAGTAAACATTCCAAAATGTGGGTATGAGGTACCAAAATCAACAAAACACATTAAAATTAATTAAAATTAAGCCGCTGAAAAACGATGAATGCCTGCACACGTGGCTTCTGTTTGCTGAAAATAATGACGAAGGAAATTAATAAAGCGAAAATTCAAAGAGCCGCCAGTAAAAGTACAAAGTCAAGCGGCAGCGAATGAAACATCTTTTACAAATTAATTACATTTTATAATTTAAAGATAAACGCCGAAAGCGTCACTGCATGTCATAGATATAATGTGTCACATGCATGTGCTCTGTGTGTGTTCTGTGTGTGTTTTGTGTGTGTTATGTGTGTGCCATGTGAGCTATGTCGCTGCTGGTGCTACTGTGCATTATGTTCAGGCTGTGTCTCGTCGACAGGTTCACCGACCTCTTGCTCTGACATGTGCTCGTCATGCAGAGCAGAGTCGACCAGCTTATATGCTACACCCACACTCTAATACTCACGCATACACAAACACACATTAACGTACACTCGGGGCTGTTTGTGCTTTGCGTTTGTGTGAGTAAGTGTATGTCCTGCAGGCATCACCTGGTGCCACCTTCGCCTCCCGTTAGATGGCAAAACATGTTCAACATTGACAGCGTACGCAGCGCAGCGCGAAATTATTCTAATTAGAACTCCCTACATCGCCAGCCGATCCTTTAGCAGCTTTTTCGAAAGGTTTTTTTCCAGTTGGCTTTGCTTTTATACACAATATTTTTTAGAGCTCATTTAACTTTTCTTACTTGTTTTATGCGATTCTGTGAATGAATCCATTCATGAATGGACCTAATCGCGTAATCAGCCTCATACAAGGCTTAAAACATAAAACGTCGGATGCGGATAATAAGGAGCTTCCCTACGGTAACTTGGGTAATTTTGGACTTGGTGCAAGAATAAATAATTTAATTTTTTTGTAATATATGTAAAATAAGCAATTAGTACTGATTTAGTAGAGAATAGCCGACCAGGCGTTACCGCGTCGTATATACGAGAACCACAATTTTTAAATGCAACCTCTGTTATATATCAGATAATTTATTTATAATGTTAAAACTGCATCTTAGAATTATCTAAGTTCCTGAGTCTTCTCATTGGCTGCATGACTATTTATTGAAAAGTTTTCGGGCTCCACATTTACGAACATCGTCAAAATGTGCTTAATGGGTTGACATTTCATGTGCTACTTTTGCTGGCATGCACGCTCATACCGACACACACACACGCACTCACACATGCACACAAGTATATATACAAAGGTATCTTGAGCATATGATTGCCAGCACACATGCTCTGGCTTTAGCTTAATTCACTTTGGGCTAACACGCTCCAAACAGTGAATGCAGACGCCACCTGCTGGTGGTGCTGATGCTGCTGCTGCTGGTGATAATGGCCGGATGGTGACAAGGATGACGCTGCATCCTATCAGTCGCCCGGCAGGACAGGTAGATATCAAGGAGATGCCCGACGCTTGTACATTTTTCGTCAAATTCAAATGCTGTTTTCTGTCTGTGTACCGGCCCGGTCTAATACAGTCGCCTGGTTGCGTCCTACTCCCACCTGTCATGTGTTAAATTAGAGGCAGGGCAGGGCGAAGGATGCTGTGCTTTGAACACCAACTGCCACTCCCCTCTCCATGGCACGTGTCGTATGATGTATGACATTTTTGCGCCTCATAAACAGCCACATTCACCGGCTGGTAATCAGGTGTTCACAATCCAGCGCTTTCCACGTGTCGCTAGCCATTTTGATGCTGCTTTGTGTATGTGCCCAGCATACAGGTAACCTTTAGCCACCTTCCATTCGAGCAGCTCTAGGAAAAATGTGGGCCCGCCCTGCGCCCTGTGCCTGGCTTGTGGTTTATTTGGTTAGTCGGCGTCGGACGGGTGGGACTGGCTGTTTGTTTGCCTTAACGAAATTGGCACGACTTGCAATGGCGTTGCCGTAATGTTGACAATTTGTTCGCTTACTGTGAACTGACTTATTTGCCTCGACGGTGCAATTTAAATGTGGCAAAATTTGACTGACCCCGCGGACTGCGCTTAAATCAGGGCAACAATATAACGTAACTAAACACTAAGAATCTTTCATGTGAACTCAGTTGCAAATATATTTGTTAAAATTCTTAGCAAGTTTTTGCTTCTGAATTTTTTCTTCAGCGAAGAAATAATTTATTCCAGATTTTATATTCTATTAGCCTAAATTATCATTTTCATAGCCCCACATAAAAACATAATGGAATGCACCAATTTTGGAAAGCTTACTTCCAGGTTCGGAAGGCGAGCATAAAACATTTTCACCTTGCATATATATAGAGAGAAATATGTATGCTTCTATAAGTTACACAAGGCAAGCCAGCATAAATACTTAAAAGTATATTGCCCAATGAATATAAAACTTAAATGTGATGAATAAATGAAAACAGCATTTGTATGTCAATATAGCTTTTAGGTCTTCCCCTGTGCTCCACTAGGTAGAATATAGAACAGAGGGTGGAAGCCTAATGAAGTAAATTGTTAAATCGATTGGACTCTCT